TATGCACAATCAGCTTGTAACACTCCAAAGAGAAAGGAAAACTTGAAATCGCATCATATGACCCCTTTAATTTCCAGTGTTAAGCGTAATGATATGGAAGGCAGGCCCAACAAACACATTTACGTTGTGGCAACGTCGCTGCCACGTTCCATTTCCATCCACGTTCCATTACTGTGGCAACGTTGCTGTTTACGTGCTCGCAACGTTGTAGCAACGTTGAATTGTAAGACGCGAAAGGGTTGTAGCAACGTTGTTGCGCGCATTCAGCAACTGCGCAACGACGTTCCAACCACATTTATTTTTATGCCAGATTATAAATATAACCTCTGCGTATAATATTCTCTGCGTCTTATTCATTTATTTTTGTGGTGAATCTCTTAATAATCACACACAAGATAAATATGTTAGGGATGTAACAATTAACTGCGAGCCGGTTGAAAATCGATTCAAATATGTGACCATTCAAATCGGTTGAGATGCTAAACAAATCGCGATTCATTTAGGGGTAGGAGTTTATATGAATGCATGTCTGAGGGGAACTTACTGTCTTTAGAAAACTTTAGATGGTATTTTATCTTTTCATCTTGCCTCTGTATAATGCATATTAAAGTTCATATGTGCAGCGCTGCTTTGTTTACAGCGGAAACCAAGGAAACGCTTTAAGCACCACCTGCTGAAAATGCAGTGGTTGCCTCTGATTTTAAATGGAAAAAGCACAGACAAAGCCTTAGTTTGCTTATATGAAGAGATTTATTTTATTTGTGTTACTTATTTATTTTATTTGGGACTTGTTTTTAAATTTCAATTTCGTTTTGTTATTTACATTCACATTATATTTAAATTTTGTAATTTAGCAGACACTTTTGTCCAAAGCGACTTGAGGACAATAGAAGCAATCAAAACCAACAAAAAAGCAGTAATATGCAAGTGCTATATTAGTATATTATTATAGTGTTATATTTCAATTTCACAAAGAAATGTGCAGCATTTTGTCCAAGCAATAATAAAAGGACACATTTAATTTATAATTTGTCTTAAATAAAATAAAATAAAATAAAATAAAATTGTGAATCGAATCGAATCGTGAGTTGAGTGAATCGTTACATCCCTATTCATTGTTCTTTTTAACGTAAACCCTGCTATGAAACTTTAAAGAGGAAAAATGCCATACAAGTTCATATAATCCAACTTTATTAAAACATTGCATACATATAATTACCCTACCAAAACATACATTTGGGGGGGAAAAAAACGCACGTTAATATAGAGTATATTAATTATATTTAGCTCAAATATAATAGACTATATAAATAAATATTAAAAAGGCATTTGAGAACATTTGCTGAACAAAAGAAAAGCAGCTGAGACGATCAGCAGGTCACCGGCCGATGAGGCGGACTCAGGACTGGAGAGCACGGCGGACAGGGGAGCGCAGACGAGAAGGTCGGTAGACATCAACAGTCCAATAAAGATAACCAAATCCAGAGGGAAAAGGCAAGCGCAGAAACCAGTCGGCAGGCACAAGTCAAAACCAGGCAGACAGTCCGGGGACAGAGAATGATGTGCAGCAGGCACAGGAAAAACTGGGCTGAGAACAAGACGGAGCAAAATCAAATAGCAAGCCACCAATATAGGAGGACACAAAACAAAGCACACTATAGCAGAGAAATGAAAGGAAAGAAGAAACATAGCCGCCATTAGCTGAGCGCAGCCAATAGAAAAAAAGAGCAAAAGTTAGAAAAGAGAGACACAGATCAAACCTGACTCCTGACAGAAACATCACATTAGCGTAGTCTTTTCAGTCTTTTTAAAGTTATTTTAAACATCTATCAAATCTTAAGTACATTTTGTACGTTATTTTTTTATTTTAGGTCCTTATTATAACAGGATAGTACAGATATGAAAGAAAAAGATAGTGAGAAAAGTGTAGGGTGACATAAGCCAGGTTTGAGCTCCAGTCATACGTACAGAAATGCTAGGCTACTTGTACTACCCATAAGGCTGAGTCTCTGAATACTTACTTAAAATTATGAGAAGAGGTCCAATGAACCATTTTGTAAATGTGGGGTAAATGATCGCTGTAAAATTAAATGTCAAACTTAGTGTCATGTCAATATCAGCTGCACAGAACATTAAAGCAATATTAAAAATCTCACACTTGGCTTTTAGTTTGGATTAATTTAGTGTATATTAAAAACATTGATTTGCACTTAACTGTAGCCTTGAGACTTTGAGGGAAGAAGAAAAAAAAAGTACTTAACCAGGGCTGGACAATAATAATGAAATACCCGTCTTGGAGCGTATCCTCGAAAACAGTCAGTTATGTCATAATTGAAAGTCAAAAGTTGAGAAAAATCGTATGTATCAATATATTGGACGCATGCACATCTAAAGTGACCTCACTGCTGTCAGTGTATACAAAAACAAAAAACAAAAAAAACACTCATTGCTCTTGACTGATTAACTTTTGTAGCTTTAACAATGATTCATCTATATTTAATTTATCCAGTGAAGAATATGCAATGTTATTACATTTGGTTATTCAATTTCTGTACCTGATCACCTACAAACCTAAAGCAGTTTAATAGTATCTTTGTTCCATTTATTTTTTGTGCTATTGTTTGTAATTTGTTCAGTTGTTTCCCTTATATTTACCTTATATTTAACTAGTATCAAACTTTTTGCCATATACGTTTATTTATGAGAATACAAGATAACAAGGATCAAAAACAATAAAAACAGCTATTTTATTTTTGTGACAGGGCCAGTGAAAATGTTGGCTGGACATGAAAAAAGTATAATATATTATACATACATATTGTCAGTAATATAATACATTGTCGAAATACTCACATTAGCCTTTCTCCTAACCAGACCTGGTGCATGTTTAAGGGTCTCTGCAATCTGGCTTTCAGCATCCATGCTAGTAGACCCAGGTTGTGATTTCATTATTGCCCCTAAATGGTTTAAGTAAAGTTTTTAGAGAAGAACAAGTATACTTTACATTTGAACAAACAGGTATTCATCCCATTTGTATTGCCAATCATATAGAATTCTGTCACTATAATGCAATGCTTCTTGATATTAAATCTAAGATAATTGAAAATACTTATATATTGTATAATATACAATAAAATAAATGCAAATACTGTTGATTTTTTAATACTTATTACAACTCGATAAACAGAGAGTTCTTCAAGTCTCCTCTTCCCCTTCTTTCCTTTGAGGCTAAACTGACCAGACTTCTGAGGAAGTCTTTTTTTTATGATTCGCCGCTCTGTCTATCCATAGTTTGGTCCTCCAATTGTAGAAAGGTATTTAACCTGAACTTAATTGAAACAGAATTGTCAAATCCTATGCATACACACAGAAAAGTTCAGCTGCAAATAAGAATGTCAAATTCTTAACCGTTTTTCTTTGGAGCTCTTCGTCCACCCTCAGCTTATCCTCAAAGGAGAGCAAGTCAGGTAACTGACCAATAGATGGGATAGGGTTCTCTGGCCCCGTGTCTTCCTCTCTTGTCTGCAGTAGCCGCCGAAGCAAAAGAGAATGCTCTTCCTGTTTTGCAATTATTTTATCCAGTTTCATGAGGACATTTAACTGGAAATCTGTAATATAATATCAGTTTGTAAGAACTTCTGTTGGTTTGATATTTTATATAAAAAAAAATAAATAAACTTCTGTTGGTTTGATATTTTATAATAAAAAAAATTATACAAAAAGGTTTATATAAAATATAAAACCTCTTATAAATATTATGGAGTTATTAATATTACTTACTGTTATTTGATGTATGATTTTGCCCATTTGAATTGAAGTCATCTGAAAACCGAGCAAGTAAAATAACAAAAACAAAAAAACCACATACAGTACACATACAAAGAATATTTACTTAAAGGGATACTCCACTCGAAAATGAAAAAGGACTCATGACTTTGTTTTTTCTAATGAACAGAAATGCTTCAAAAACAAACATGATGGTTATCTATATGACACCAGTTGATGAATCAATGTATCCTGAAGCAAAACACTTGCAATAAGTCACAGTCCTCTATGCTTGCATCACATTTAAAATAATATTTTTCTCACATATGCCTATCAATTTGCTTTAGAACACACTGGGGTCATATGGATTAACGTTGCGTTTGTTTAGTGTGTTTTTTCACAAATCAACTTTGCCGTCCTATTTACTTGCTTTATTTAGACTCACAGAGGTGGATTATTTTTCTAAAAATCTCAATTTGTGTTCCACAGAAGGGAGAAATAAAGTCATATATGCATCCCCAAATCAGAAAAAGTTGGGATGTGTTTTAAAATGCCATGAAATTGAGAATCTGTGGTTTGTTAATTCTCTGTCTTTTATTTAATTTACAAAAGTACAAAGAAAAGACTTATGAATCGGAAATATTGAGAAGAATATCAAAGTACAGTAAACGATAAAACAGTTTGTGCTACAAACCAGTCTATTTATAATTAAGTCAATACATTTAAAATTATATGGTAAGCAACACAAGTTTGCAATATTATACAGCAAAGCAAGCTGATTTGTGCAGATAAAAATCAGCTGGAATCGGACGAGACCAGAAGCCAGACTCATTAAATTTACAAATGGCCACGACAGCTCTTACGGGTAAAATAAGGTGGATACTTTATGATACATTGTTGTACCTTTCATGCCATCTAAAAAAATTGTTCTTAATTATTTTAAATTATTTCTTTAGTTGACTACATGACAGCCCATAAGCTCATGAGAAAAGCTCAAATCACCTCGTGTCCTGAACTATCAGACTCCTCCATCACTGAGAAAAGACCAACCAGGCTGAAGAGACCACCTTTATGCCTTTTAGAGTCAGATAGTTATATCACAGATATTGAAGACAGTATGTATATGAATTCACATTTCTTGTTTGGTTTATAAAGTAATTAAATGATAAAAACTTAAATGTAATAAAATTGTTGTAGGGATTTCTGTCATGAACGGGCACTAATATGCCACAGAAACAACTCATCATGAGATGACGAACCAAT